GGGGCCTATTATCATGTTACCTTTTTTGTTCCTCAAGTTAAGACCAATAAGAAATATCAAGTTCACACATGCACACGCATATACACACACAAATAGGTTCTAAGGCCGAATAAAGTCATTTTAACATTCTCAAATATTACTTCAGTAACAGCTTCTTGTTGATGATAACCTCAATGAGCTACAGTATTGTTAAATAAACTTGTCAGTGATAACTAACAAAGAATTGTGGAGAGATATTAGGGTGATAGGGAGCTCTGGTGGCATAGTGCCTAAGGCATTTGACTGCTAACCAGAAGGCTGGCAGTTCAAGCCCACCAGCCATTTCTTGGAAGGAAGACTGGGTAATCTACTTCCATAGAGATACTGCCTCAGAAACCCAAGGAGGGGTCTCTATGTGTCGGAATCCACTCCATGGCGTGAGGTTTTTTTATTAGGGTGTTAAAAAAAATGAATGATCATCCAGGCTAAACTCCTTTGTTTTACAGAAGAAGAAACTGAGACCCCAGAAGTTAAGTGATTTTCCCTTTTAGTCAGATAACACAACTGGTGCAAAAGTCCAGATCTCCTTCCTTAAGACTGCTGTTCTTTTTTCTCAGGTCCTTTACTTCAGCCTCAGTGATTCTATCTTTTTGGAAAACGCTTAGAAACTAACAGTATAGATTTGTCATTTCCATCTATCTATGTCTTTCTTTGCAGCACTGAGAACAGATTAGAAACTTCCTAGATGAGAAAGACATCCCATTCCTGAGCAATGAAGTAATTCAGCCAAAAGTAGACCAGAAGAGCAAAGTGGGATGGAGTGAAATAAAGTCTCAACCTACCTTTATCCACATTTCCTGCTGTTTGATGCATTTGAAGAAAAGCAAACAGTGGATCTGGCTCCAAGATGTTGTCCTTGTAGAAAAGCAATAATTGCTATCATCTTATAGGCAGTGACTGGGTGGTGAGGATGTAGCAAGAGTTTCAAAGAAGGGGCAGAGATGGATTTAACATGAGCCAAAGAAATGTAAGATTCACTAACTTGGCCCTTCCAGGTTCTTGGAGGTACCCTAGTAAGTTTATATTGATGATGTTGTTGTTGTTTTCCTTAAAGAAGTCTCTCCAAATTGTGTAAGCTCCAGACTCTACAAAACCTAGATTTACCTGTAAGAATGGGATGTGCTAAATGAAGTCTAGCCACTCTACAAAGGCCTCAAAAATGTGAGTGATCTGCTTTCTTGGCTATTACAAGTCCAAATGACCTCTCTTTGGTTCTCCTTTCCAAATTATATCAATAAGGTTGTTAGGAGTGGAAGGGTAGCATTTAAACCTTAACAACCCAAATAAAAGACCTTTGCTTCATATTGATATTTAGAATTCCTTTCCTCTTGATCTGTTATTGGACTTAAATTTTCTGTTGAAAATATATTTGTGATGAATAACAAGCATAACTTATACAGTTACAAATGAGATGTTGAAATAGAATTATTTTGTATATTGTTGCATATTCACGCCCAGGAAATATACTAGAGGTCAAAACCATATAAATCTTGATTTCTATTTAGATGAAGATTTATCATTATTTGTAAGATATGTCCACTATGGTTTCACTTTAAAACCACAAATAAAGTTTTAACAATGGGCATTTTTCTTGTTGAGAGGTCTGTGGTCAGACTAAACATCTCTCTCAACCTGATTAGATCCTGAGGTTTTTAAATTCAATATTCAGCAAATATAGAACATTTCTTTGGCCGTAAGAAATAATTAAGAACTTCAGAGCTCATGCTACTCTCCTGAGCCTGCGCTTTCTTCTGATGACATGATAATCAAATATAACCTCTTCTAGTCTTGGGCTCACTGCATATGAGACCAAGACAGAGTAAAGCATACACAATTAATCTTTGGAGAATCTAAGTGACATTGCTTTAGATTTGTACAACAGCAAGTCATTTGTTTGTTAGTACTCAAATTGTGGAAATTTTATGTTATTAAATGCTTTGTTTATTCATCCTCACTCCCAGCTATCCTGAACCCAGAAATGTAGACACACGGTCATTATGTGAAGACAAAGGAATACTGAATAATTATACAACAGCCAGAATTGTCCACTGGACATTCATTCTTGTAATGGATCGCCAGAGGGTAAATTAGCATACTGAGTTTGAAATCTTGTAAAATAGAATGGGATTGTTTTAGCAGTTTTACAGTTTGCATAATCATCATCATAGTTCATGGAAGATCTGCCTCAGAATAACAAAGCTCTGAATAATGGAGAGGAGGATGTTCCCTAAATGATCCGCATGGGCTGGGTACCTACACTGCAAAGATGTATTTGATGTCTAAAATCCACTTTTCCTGTATAAACACAATCTCTCTGTGTCTCCTAAAGACTTTATTTGCTTTCTTAGAACCTAACTCCTTCACTTCCAAAGATAGGCCTAAAATAAAAGATGCAGAAGTAGTCTTTGAATTGTTTCTGTAGCATTTCCTTTGCTGGAAGGGACCTCCAGAGGTCAACTATTGCGTCCCAATCTCCAGCCAGGACTCTCCCTAATACTGAATATAGCTGTATAGTGATCTGCATTAAGAAAGCTTTTAAAGATCCCTGGGGTTGGTCAAAAAATAGCTAATATTGGCCTGACTCATAGAACAGCATTATAAGTATGTCAAAATACCCACCTTCATCAAGGAAGACATCCATCAGGGCTGTTAAGTGCTGTACTAGCTTCAAAAAGACAAGCTTTATTTTTTCAAATTAAGGGGTGGTAGATTAAGGAAATGACCAAGCGTGTTGGTGTTTTTTTGTTTAGGTGTACATTTGAATGCTTATCAAAAAGGAAACATTGTCATGTCAAAGACCACTGCAGGGGAAGCTCGCAGGTGGCTGTACATGAGCATGTCCCAAGTACAAGTCCTTTCAAATAGTTACAGGGCTCAGGAGGGGGGCTGTTGTTTCAAACAAGATCTGATTAGCATCAAGTTATTGAAAGACAGATGGTGAAACATAAGAATAATATTGACAGACCTGCTTTTTAAGTGATATAGTTTCCCTCTCTCATCTGAGCTTATTAGAGCAGATAATTTTCTTTCCTCAATTCCATCACACACTAGGTGCAAAGGACAGGAATTTGTTTATAATTTAAATTTCCTAAGACAACTAATCACAATGCTGTTTTATAAGAAAAAGAATCCTCCATAATTGTTTAGACTTTTTAATTATTAGATTGGAAGCCCTACATAGAATCTGAAAATCTAGCTAAAAGCAGAACTGAGGTTCTTTTCTGGATTATTTGGGCCTTTAAACCTATCAGTTGGAATACAGAGTGTTTAAGCCTGTTTCTAAACAGCTAGGGTGGAAGGGGAGAAGGGATGTAACTCAAAAGAGATGAAAATTATCTGCCTGAACAATTGTCTCAAGTATCTATTTGGTTATGCATTGGTATTGCATTTTTTCAAACATTTCTGGAAGGTTTCACAAAAGCCTGGCCAATTATGGATGCCTCTAAGGATGGGAAAGAGGGAGGCAGCACTAGCAGAAACAAGTTTTAAAAAGATGTTACCACATACCCTTTTGCAACTTTCAAGTTTTGTGCTTGTACCTCTTCCAAAAGAATTTGGGAATATTTTATTTTAAAAAACAGAAAGGCAACCTCAATGGTTTCTCTCAGCTAGACACTCAGTCTGGGTTACAGGCAATGCAAAGCTCTGACTCCTGGTCTCTTCCAGCCTCCTTTGTAATTCTTGACTTTGAAAATGGGAATTTAGTGGTTGAGAACTTTCTGGTGTGCAGCTGCCTTTCTCTAGAGAACACTGACCAAGTAGCAAAGTCTGTAGGTCACCTTTCCTCTTCCTTTGTAAGGATGGGCAGCAAAGGAACATCTCCCCGCAGTGTCTCTTTGGCTTTACAACATTCCCACAGAGGGCACCTAACCCCTGAGTTAATACGCAGCCTACAAACCCCTCCTCCCAATAAAACCAGGGCACTTAAGGTAAGGAAAGTACTTCCTTAGTTACTTGGATATTTGGCACAGTGGTTTTTTGTGTTTTTTTCTCCTTCTTCCTTAAAGTACTCAAATAATTGTCACTAACTTGCTGTTTGTATAGACAGCCTGCAAGAAATGTCATTCTTAAAACTTAACAGCATAGACAAATTTCCCAAGCAGAATCAAGACATTCCAGATAGTGAAAACTGAATCAGCTTTAAGGAAGAGAATTAAATTCATAGGAGTGTAAGGAAAAGCACAGTAGCAGGTTCTACACTTTTTATTACAAAAAACCTTCAAATGCTTTACATGCTCTGACATTAAATGTCACATATTAAGTTTGTTGCAAGCAAATCTTTTTAAAAATATACATACTGTATATATTTACATTCAAGTTTGGGTAAGTGAGGTCAAGGTGTAGTTCAGGTTCTAAGCTTTACCCACCCTGTGAATTTGTTCAGCTACTAACTAAACAGCGATTGTATCTCACTCAGGCACATGGAGAGGTAGATACTGCTTTATAAAGTTTAAAAAAAAAAAAAAAAAACTACAAATGTGAAGATCATCATTGAAGCAGCTTAGGTACATCAAGGAGTTCCTAACTAGCTTTGGTCACCTCAAGAAGCTGAGTACATGTAGCTTTATCCTTTAAATTAAAAAACATAAGAACTTTGGACAGATGCTCTTCTGAGCATACCAGGAGGTTGGCAGAGTTCAGCAACTAATGCTGTGCCACTCTTCACTGGCAGAACTGCATATGACTAACAGACAAATTAGCAGCAGAGTGGGGCTGGGCTGGCAGCTGGGCACCTTTTCCCTGATAAGACACAAAGAATGCACAAACAAGTGGCCTGAAAGACATCAAATTAGTATCTGTACATACACAGCCTGGAACTCAATACCAAAGTAAAATACCTCTTTCCCACACAAAACCCCTATTAATCTCTGCCCAGCCCATTCCCAAACAAAACTGTTTACAGTCCGGTAGGGGCGGCCTTGACTTCCACAGGCTGAGGTCAGTCAGCCTCAGACTGGACCTCAGGAAGGCTCTTGGGCCTGAGAAGGGCTCTCCGGGTTCTTGCCTGACTTAGTGGGGCTCGTTCCTGAGAGGGGAAGTTGGAAGGAGGCCACAGGGGTGGCCATGGCCAAAAGCCCTTCTCGTTCCCTTTTTTTCTGTTTCATTCTGCGGTTCTGGAACCAGATTTTGACCTGGGTGTCATTCAGCTGCAAGGAGTTGGCTATCTCGATGCGTCGGGCTCGAGTTAAGTATTTATTAAAATGAAACTCTTTCTCCAGTTCTGTCAGTTGTTTGGTGCTGAAACTTGTGCGGATCGCGCTGGAGGGGCTGGCGGCTCCATAATCGGCGAGCTTGCCTACAACGTAAAGACAGGACGTCAGCAGGACGAAAGGACGAGAGGCAGAACGCGGGCGGACAATAGGGCTAGAGTGAAAATCAAAGTCACAGTGCAGCCTGCCTGGGTTCCTATGAACTTCTACGGTTGTGCCAGGGGAAACTCTCCAAGGAGAGCTCCCTCCTGCAATTTTCTGAGTGCCTGGCACGCTCAAGGGAATTTGCCTCCATTACTAACGCCTTGGAACTCGTTGCCTTCCTTAAAACCCAAACCGTCTGTCAAAGAAGGACAATTGCAACGGGCTCCCAGTTCAGTTTCTCGGGGCAGGCTCTGTCCCCAACCTCAGAGCCTGGGATCAAAGCCCAAATACTTACTTTTCTTAGGAGCGTTCCTCTTCACTTTCATCCACTCGAACGTGCTAAAGGCGGCGGGGAGACCAGAGGCCGGAGAGGCAGACTTAGGGTAGGTGCCGGGCGCTGGGGACGCAGTCTGGAAGGCCCCAGGGTGGCTATCGACTGGCTCTTTGAGACACGGTGGGAAGGGGCCCGGCTCGCTGAAGGCCGCGTAATCCACCTGGCCGCTGAGAAGAAAGGAACCGCCGCCCGAGAAGACGGCCGAGGTGGCGTAGTGGACGTGCGGCCCGCCGTCGTCTGCCGGCCGCCCGAGCGCGCACGGGAAGTCGTACGCGGTTCCGGGCCCCGGGAAGCCGTAGTCCGCGCCCCCCGCCGCGGCAGGTGCGGCGCCGGGTTCGTAGGCGCCCTCCAGGGTGCACGGCGCGTACGGGGGCGCGGGCGGGGGAGCCGCAGGCTGTTGCGCTGGCGCGGCCGGGGGCGAAGGTGCGGGTCGGGCCCCGGTGGCAGTCAGGGGCAGGCAGCTAACGAAGGCGCCCTCGCCGCTGCCCAGGGGGAAGGCAGGCTGCAGGGCCACGGGCCGGGCGTCGGCGCGGCAGAACTTGGGCGCGAAGCTGAGTACGTCGCCGCCGCCCCCACCGCCGCCGCCACATGAGACGTACTCCAAGTACGAGCTCATGGTTCTGGCCCACCCTCCGGGGCGCGCAGGCAAGGGCCGGGGTGCGCACTGCCTTTCGCCCCTACCCCCGCTGCCCTCGCGGAGCCATTGGCGAGCAAGCCAGAGGTAAATAGTGGCTTAATATAGCGGCGGGGGAGGCCACGTGGCGCCGGCCAGCCAATGAGCGCCTTCCCCGCACGGCCGCGGTCCCGACTGGCGCGCGGTTCCACGCGCCTGCCCCGCAGCCAACTTTGCCAAACCAGCGGAGGGCCGCCGCCCAGTGCCCCCAAGTTCCGGGTAGAGCTGGCCCGACCCAGAGAATGACTGGGGAAGACCGGGGCGAGAGCACAGGACGCCTGATCCCTACCCAGGTATTGGGCGTAGTGAGGGGTGGAGGCAGAACAACTCGCCTCTTGGTTGAGGGCGAGGGGATGGAAAGAGCAAGGGCTTTTTCTCCTGGGTCTTAGGTGGCTAATCCCTAGACTATGAATTGTGGGCGCCGCGGTGTGGAAGGGGTTAAAAAGAAGCGTGGAGTTGGCTGGTGAAGAAGGCAAAGTTATTCCTGTCCCTTTTTCTCTGAATGCTATACTCTGGGTTTTCTTGGCACTGGTGTTATCCCGCCCCTAAATCTGGAGCAGATGTTTGATTTTTCCTCTTTTTTTCCCTCCCCCTGACTCGTGGGACTAAATTTTATGGTGTAGGCACTGTGTACGTTGGGGCAGCGAAGTATTTTAGCACATTTTTCACGAGGTTTTTCACGTTGCCTCGCAGCATTCCTTTCGGCTGCTTCTACCCCTTCCAGTTGAGGGCATGATGAGGGCGAGTGCTGGACTGTCAGGTTTTGATTTGGAGAGAAGATAAAGTTTCTGCCTTGTGGGGAAATGTAGCAGATTTCCCCCTTTGAGTAGGTTGTCAAAATAAAGAATCAGCCTTTTGGTCAAACAATGGTTGTGTCCCCCATGCTGATCTGGGAGGCTGGCACAGGCGCTGGTGCTGCGTCTGCTTTCTCAGAGGCGTTTGGCTTGAGGGCGCAAAGGCTTCCCAGGGATGGGTCATATCTCAGAGGTTTGGACTGGCTTGTACCTTGAAGCAATTAAGGCTTCTATTCCATCAGATAAGTGCTTCGTCGTCTCTTGCGAGTGAAATCTGAGGGCTCACAATGTTAATGGGCTCACGTCTTTCCCTTGATAATGTGTTTTGTTTAAAAAAAAAAAATGAGTGTAGAGAGACGGGAAATATAAATGCAATTGGCACAGGAAATGAAGAGTAGAAATGTTACAAAGACAAGCTTTATGTTGACAAACTTTTCAACTTCCTTGAACATTTTTTAATGTTTCCCTCTTTGTGGCTGTAGGAAAATAACAGAATAAATAAATAAGTGCTATGTACATGCAGCAGCAATTAAAGGCAGGGTTTTCTTAAAACCCTGTGAATGAAGACTCTAAAGAGTCAATTCTTGCCTTAATCAAATGCCCTTGAAAACTTGATCTATTGCAGACTCTGAGTTATAGGGACCACTGTTATATTGTTGTTTTACTGATGATCCACTTGTCCTGAAAGAGACATTGAGCCCTTGCCTAAAATTCTACTCTGAGGAAACCCAGAAAACACAAGCTATCACAGTCCAAGGAATCAGTTCCTTGCAGGGATTTGGACTTTTAAATAAAGAAAGCCATACCAAAATTAAGCCAAGATGAGGGAAAGGGGGAATGTAGTTGGGACACCAAGATAATCTTCAGGGTTCAAGGATTCCTGGGCTGCTAAAGTTCTTGAATTTGATTGGGAGATGAAATGCAATGCTAAAAATAGCCCTTCAACCTTGACTTTACTACTTCAGTGTTGTCTGGTAGCCAATCAGATGGCAAAAGTCCTAAATAGTTTTTAAAAGGAAAAAAAAAACAAATGTTCTTCCCTAGTACTCCAGTAAAGAAATGTCTCCTTAGTCCTAGGCAGGTTTAAAATGTAGATGAGTTTCTTTACCGCCCCACCTCTGTGTTGTTAATGCAAAAGTACCCATACATTTGACCAGGCAGGGTTCACAATGCCCTCTCACCCCTCCCACACACACACCAAAAAGACCAAACCCACTGCCATTGAGTTGGTTCCCTTTATGAAGGTAGATTGTTTCATCTTCCTCCTGCAGAGCAGCTGGTGGGCTTGAACTACTGACCTTTTGGTTAGCAGCCAAATGCCTTATCCATTGTGCTACCAGAGCTCCTTACACACACTACACACACACACACACACACACACAGGACTTTAATGGCCAATTTGTACAGGCTGTATGTCCCAGCTCTCACAATTTTATCTCCAAACTGCAAGGGTCCTTTCTCAGAAGGAATGCATCCTATCACAACTCCCTAGCCCAGCAGCTCCAAGAAGTCAAAAAAGGAGGGCTGGCAATATAAACCTCTTCTGGGGAGAAGCAGCCAGCTGTCTGCAACCCAGGATTTAGGACAGAAAACTCAGCCCAATTGTCTGATGAGTCTGACTAAAGCCCATCAAATTATGGGCCTTTTCTCTAAAATTTCAGGGAAAACTAGCCAGCCTAGGCGCCTTGGCAACCTTCAAGGCAACAGTGACCAGATTTGTGCTGCTAAGTGTTTGGGCCAAAAGGTTGGGACCCTCTTGACACAAGTAAGCTTTGACTTTGCACACATGAGCTGTCCACAACATTTCCCTGGAACAAGCTTTTGGAGCTTTTTAGCATTTGCTAAGGAAAGAAAGTGTTCAAGGAAAGAAAGATTTCTTAAAAAAAAATCTGTTTTCATAAGTGTGGATGAGGATGGGTGGAGGATTCAATCTTTGTTTAATCTTTGTTAGCAGTTCCATTTCCTGATAGTCCCATACAGAAGACATTCCCTTTCATCCTTCTCTCCACTCCCTTAATTGCCAAGAGTCCTTGGTATAACCCCACACCTTGGGCCATAAGATTGCTATCCTCATTCCTGAGCTGGTTCTTGACTTACTCAGGTTGGAAGTCAATATTCTGGTCATCTCAGACTCAACAAACATTTGCCAAACAATTACTGAATGAAGATACTCTGTAGAGGAGGTTAGGCTGGGACAAATGGTATTTTCCAACCAGAGGGACAAGGGATTCGATTCTGGCACAGGGCTTAGCTGTGTTATAAGTCTGCTCTAGAAGGATTTGAATCTGTAATCTTTAGAAGAGAGACTGGAAGATACTGGGGAAAGTGTTGCAGAAAGATGTGAACATAAAAGTATTTTAAGTAACTTTATAGTTTGTCTCTTAATGGGTATGGGAAAAATTTCTTACTAATTTTATTACTTGTTCAAACCTTGGATTCCCGCAGGTCACTTGCTGTGCTGGGTCCTGATGCCATGAGCTCTCTCTCAGCAGGAGGTGACAGCAGAAAGGCCTGATTGCCAGGTCTTGTTTGAAGTAGGAATGCTTTGAAATCTCTCTTGTCTTGTTCACCACAGTAGCCACCCACTGCCCCTCACCTCATAATTATCTTTCTCTCCCATTCTAATCACAAGCTTTTTTTTTTTTTTTTTTCTACACACTGAAGTGACCAGAGAGTGACAGTCTGGTCTCTTACATATTTCAAGTTGTTCTTAACATGTCCCTTTTGACCACCATCCACAAGCTCCACCCAGTTACCCTTTGGAGATGCTTGAGTACATGCAGACTCTTAGCTCCACAGTCCCAAAGCACAGAATGTCTCTTGCATGTTAAAAAAAAGAAAAGGAGTGTTTTCTCTTAAGCTACATTTGCAGTTCTCCACAACATCTCCAGATATCCCAAAATGAAGGTGAGGATGAAAGGGATCCTAATGACTGGAATTCAAAATCTGTTGGAAGTTTGATTTCCCTGTAGAAAAGTTTGAGTGCTGTGTCTTTCCTGAGATCTTTGTACATGAAAGTTTCATATGCCAAGTCAGTGCCTGGCACACAGTAGATAATACCAGTTTTCCCTTGTGGTCAGAAAACAAATGTCTGTTGGACAGAATTAAAGACTGAACAGAACAGAGTTTCTTCACCATGACTAATACTGGCTAATGGATATTCTTAGGTTATTGGCTCCCAAAACCCCAGTTAGTGTAAGAAGGAATCACCATAGAAGCTGGTTTAGAAATGCAAATTCTTTGGCCCAGAGATTTTAATCCAATAGGTCTGACTTGGGAATCTTTATTCTTAACAAGCCTCTTGAGTGATTCTAAAGCAAGGTTCTTCAGAACCACCCTTTGAGAATTTCTACTTTAGGAGCTCCAGAGGACCATGGCCATGGTTCTAAGAGGGCTCCTGATGGCACGATGAGAGATCATGGCTAGCTGGAGCAGGAGTATACCTGAACATTGTCCAGAAGTCTGGTGAGTGGTAGAGTAGGGACAGAGAGGTCAATGTCAAGGTCAAGCTTAAGTCTACTTGGGCTGAAGATCCAGAAAATATCTTTAAGAAGTGGTCAGTAGGATTTCCTCATGTTTTGCTGATAGTACATGATTTGCAGAGCATGCCCTCTTCTGGTCCTTGCCACTTCCCTAGCTTGGTTTTAATGGTTCCAGTTAGGTAGGAAGTGAAAGGGATTTGTTTCTTCAAGTCTCTTCAGAGCAAGTTTAAAATGGTTCTGAGGCAATGGGATGAAGGAAGGCATGGGAATGGTGGTCTCAAGAGGTGCCAACTCTTTTCCTTTCATCTCTCCCAGTTTGTCTGGAGTGAACATCTGAGCCACAGGGATCCAGAGGGAAGAATATGCCCCTTGGCCTAAGTTTTAACCCTTCATCTAGCTAAAGGCTGACTTTTCACAGCACAAGATGTCAAAACTAGAAGGCACCTTAAACATAAACTACTTTTCGAACCCCTCATTTTAGAGGGGGAGTCACTTTACCCAGGGGTTAAAAGGCTTGTATCCAGGATTACAGCTCGGATCTCCTGACTCTTCCAGTCTGCAAAGATGGAGGAACGAGACAGCCACTCCTCAGCACTATGGTGGGCCTTGACCCAGAGCAAGCAGAGCAGTGTTCCAGGTGCCCTCATTTCTAGGAGATTCAGTCTGTGAGGCCCTTTGGAGGCTGACTGGGAGGCCTGCTGCCCTTCTT